TTTTCCGTCTTTTACTTTCGTTTTTTTTTCAGCTGAAAATACAATATTTTTGCTTATGGAAAATATATTTCACAGCGGTTTAGATGGTAAAATGATTCTCTACACTATACTTGCTTTTTTTGTCACATAAACTGAAATTAGGAGAACTATTAGAACTTTTGCAACCAGGAAATGGCAGAGCGATTTCTGCATAGTGCATCTTTAATATGTTGCTCAAAATGTAAGTATCTTTCATGAGGATAAACAAAGAGAGAGACGATAGAGTGATTGAACTCATTATAAGTCTTTGGTTTTAGTTACCTTGCATTTCCCATCTTGCAACGTGACTCTGTTTTTAGGATTGTGGGTAATTCAACATTTTTTGACTTTATGATTCTTTCACACATTGTTGTATGCATGTTTGAAGAAAGAAGAGTATATTTCTATATTAGTATTACAATTGTTGTGGTGTAATGGATCATGATGAACGGATATCAAAACCATTAGGCAAATTGATGTTTAGTAATGACAGCACCAATTCTCACATTCATGATTGTCAATGGAATAGGCAAGTCCAACATGTTCAGTTCTTGCAGTTCAACCTCCAGTTACTGCTGGTAGTTTGAACACTGTGCTTGGCAATGCCTGCCAAAACGGAATACAGTATAATGGCAAATGATCAAATACATAAAACAATGTTAAACATTAAGAAACTTCAGAAAAAGGGATCTAATTCTGCACTAGACAGGATTCAAAACATCATAATGGTGTTTAGAAGCTTTAGAGAGAGGAAACAACATCAAAAGAGAAGGTATCTTATTCTGCACTAAGCAGAACACCACTAAAATAGTGTTTTCAACCTTTTCTGTTAGTGCTCCCAGTCCCTGGTAAGGTGTTCCGCAACACTTGATTTAGTGGTGTTACAACACACCATGTAATGTTTCAAAACACCTCAGGATGATGTGTTTCAATACTCCAGCAAAGTTAAAGTTTTGTCTCCTTCAAGTTGGTGGCAGTTCAGTAGCCACTAGTTTTGGTGTTACGAAGCACTTCATTTTAACAGTGCACAAGCCTACACTCACTGACAGTGTGTCAATAGCCGTAGTCCATGGAGGGACTTGCTAATGTATGACTCAATTCACTTGTGAGTTCATTCAATTCAAAACAATGTAGCTTGAATTGTAGCCGTGAGGCTGAAATAATAGATAGTGTGTAGCGAGCTCTATGGTGGCACATATTGATTGAGCCGAAGGGTCTTTGTGCTGTTTTTGCTTTTCACAATCTACTCTATGTCCTTTGCTGTAGGGAGGAAAATACACAAACTTTCTTTCTGTCTGTCTGTCTGAATTATGCACTTTGGTTTTATAGCCCCTTTAATTCCTCATTCTTATGGGATTTCATTGTGAGACAGGGTGCATTTTATTGACATGACGCTTTTGTTATGTGCTACTGCATTCATTGCACAAGTCTAGAATTCTATATCAGCCCACACATTCTAGAACATACAAGCATTTGAATGTGTTTTTGTTTGTTAGTTAAGAAAAAAGAAGTCACTGAAAAAAGAACAGTGTGAAACAGTTGAAGCTCTTTTAACTGAAATAACTTTAAATGGAGGTAGGGAAAACAAACTGTTCTATTGTAATTGTTGTTTTGAAAGCAATCAGTCTCACAAAGAAGCATAATTTGCTGCTGTGCATTTTGAACATGTTTGATTGTTATGGTTTATACACTGCTCAAAAAGATCAAGGGAACACTAAACTAACACATCCTAGATCTGAATGAATGAAATAATCGTATTAAATACTTTTTTCTTTACATAGTTGAATGTGCTGACAACAAAATCACACAAAAATTATCAATGGAAATCAAATTTATCAACCCATGGAGGTCTGGATTTGGAGTCACCCTCAAAATTAAAGTGGAAAACCACACTACGGTGTCATGATCGTTCATTAACGAGAAAGACCAAGGCACAGCGTGATATGTATTCATATTTATTTACGTACTGAACACACGACAAAACAACAAACGAAACGTGAAGTCCAAGGTAGACAAAATAACATACCTCACACGGAACAAGATCCCACAACTGACTGGTGCCAAAAGGCTGCCTAAGTATGGTCCCCAATCAGAGACAACGAGTTACAGCTGCCTCTGATTGGGAACCACCCTGGCCAACATAGATCTAAACGATCTAGAAACTAAACATAGAAATAAACACAACACGAAATATACACACCCTGACTCAACAAATAACCGTCCCCTGAGTCAGGGCGTGACAGTACCCCTCCCCAAAGGTGCGAACTCCGACCGCGCCACATAAACCTAACAGGGTAGGGGCCGGGTGGGCATTTCGCCTCGGAGGCGGATCCGGCTCCGGGTGTAACCACCACTTACTCTCCACCTCCCCGTTGCGCCCCTGGTCTGGAACCGCTGACTGGAGCTGGATCAGGCACCGGTGGAGCGGACTGCTCTGGCTCCGGAGTGGAGCCGCTGACCGGGGCTGGACCGGACCCCGGTGGAGCGGATTGCTCTGGCTCCGGAGTGGAGCAGCTGACCGGTGCCGGACCAAGCACCGGTGGAACAGGCACGGGCCGTGCCGGACTGGACACACGCACCACTGGCTTGGTGCGGGGAGCAGGAACGGACCGGACCTGGTTGATGACGCGCACCCCTGGCTTGGTGCGGGGAGCAGGAACGGGCCGGACTGGGCTGACGACGCGCACCACTGGCCTGGTGCGGGGAGCAGGAACGGGCCGGACTGGGCTGACGACGCGCACCCCTGGCTTGGTGCGGGGAGCAGGAACGGGCCGGACTGGGCTGACGACGCGCACCACTGGCTTAGTGCGGGGAGCAGGAACGGGCCGGACTGGGCTGACGACGCGCACCACTGGCTTGGTGCGGGGAGCAGGAACGGGCCGGACTGGGCTGACGACGCGCACCACTGGCTTGGTGCGGGGAGCAGGAACGGGCCGGACCGGACTGGCGACACGCACCACTTGATTAGTGCGAGGAGCGGGACTGGGTTGCTTCATTAACCCCCGCTCCTTCTGCTGCCTAACCAGCTCCTCTCGCCGTGCCTCTACACTTTCCTTCTGCTCCCTCTGCACCAATGACCCCCTTAATCTGGCGGCCTCCTCTGCTAAACGGCTGAACCGCTCTATCGCGGCCTCCTGCTGCCTCGTCGTCCATGGCGTGAGCCCCCCCCCCTAAAAATGTTTTGGGCTTGTCTCTCCCCCGTGATCATGGCCTCCATCCCTCTTGCCAGACTCTCGCTCATCTCCTCCCAAGTCCATCCTCTCTCCTCATCACGCTGCTTGATCCAGGATTGGTGGGATCTTCTGTCACGATCGTTCATTAACGAGAAGAACCAAGGCGCAGCGTGATATGTATTCATATTTATTTACGTACTGAACACACAACATAGACAAAATAACATACCTCACACGGAACAAGATCCCACAACTGACTGGTGCCAAAAGGCTGCCTAATATGGTCCCCAATCAGAGACAACGAGCTACAGCTGCCTCTGATTGGGAACCACCCTGGGCCAACATAGATCTAAACGATCTAGAAACTAAACATAGAAATAAACACAACACGAAATATACACACCCTGACTCAACAAATAACCGTCCCCTGAGTCAGGGCGTGACATACAGGCTGATCCAACTTTGATGTAATGTCCTTAAAACAAGTCAAAATGAGGCTCAGTAGTGTGTGTGGCCTCCACATTCTTGTATGACCTCCCTACAACGCCTGGGCATGCTCCTGATGAGGTGGCGGATGGTCTCCTGAGGGATCTCCTCCCAGACCTGGACTAAAGCATCCACCAACTCCTGGACAGTCTGTGGTGCAACGTGGCGTTGGTGGATGGAGCAAGACATGATGTCCCAGATGTGCTCAATTGGATTCAGGTCTGGGGAACGGGCGGACCAGTCCATAGCATCAATGCCTTCCTCTTGCAGGAACTGCTGACACACTCCAGCCACATGAGGTCTAGCATTGTCTTGCATTAGGAGGAACCCAGGGCCAACCGCACCAGCATATGGTCTCACAAGGGGTCTGAGGATCTCATCTCGGTACCTAATGGCAGTCAGGCTACCTCTGGCGAGCACATGGAGGGCTGTGCGGCCCCCCAAAGAAATGCCACCCCACACCATGACTGACCCACCGCCAAACCGGTCATGCTGGAGGATGTTGCAGGCAGCAGAACGTTCTCCACGGGGTCTCCAGACTCTGTCACGTCTGTCACATGTGCTCAGTGTGAACCTGCTTTCATCTGTGAAGAGCACAGGGCGCCAGTGGCGAATTTGCCAATCTTGGTGTTCTCTGGCAAATGCCAAAAGTCCTGCACGGTGTTGGGCTGTAAGCACAACCCCCACCTGTGGACGTCGGGCCTCACCGTTTGAGCAGACACATGCACGTGGGTTGTAGACTCCGTCTCATGCTACCACTAGAGTGAAAGCACCGCCAGCATTCAAAAGTGACCAAAACATCAGCCAGGAAGCATAGGAACTGAGAAGTGGTCTGTGGTCACCACCTGCAAAACCAGTCCTTTATTGGGTGTGTCTTGCTAATTGCCTATAATTTCCACCTGTTGTCTATTCCATTTGCACAACAGCATGTGACATTTATTGTCAATCAGTGTTGCTTCCTAAGTGGACAGTTTGATTTCACAGAAGTGTGATTGACTTGGAGTTACATTGTGTTGTTTAAGTGTTCCCTTAATTTTTTTGAGCAGTGTATTTATATATTTTATAAATAATTAGTACTTGAGTTAGAAATGAAAAGAAAGGCTACAGTAGCCAATTAGTAGCTTGTTAATGTTGTAAAATGAATTTCTCATTCTAAATCAAATGCATTTTCCATAACATCTATTGGTATTGGGCAGATTTAAATAGTGCTTAGGCCTAGATACAGTTAGTAGCCCCAGGCAAAATAAAACATTTTAAATAACGGATTATGAAGCCGTATGGATAATTATAATCATATGTCTTATCAATATCTCTTTGACAGAAGCAGCCACTGAGGTTAAGCCGGGGTTCAAACGACACCCAGATCAAAAAAGGCACTGCCACCCAGGCCAGGGGTTAGCAGGCTGGGCTGGGGGTCAGTGTTGGTACACAGCCAAGCCTGGCTCTGAATCCAACCACCGGGAGACCAGAGGAGGCTGTAGACCAGGCTGCCATCCATCCCCAGAGACAGGTAAGCTACATCAATTTCTAATTCCTAATTCTATGAGCTACACTGACTGCATTATAGCCTGGTCCCAGATCTGTTTATTCTGTATTGTGAACTCTTATGGTCAATCATTGTCATACCAAAGTTGACAAGAAAGCTCGAAGAGATCTGAGACTAGGTTATCAGTGCTAAAAACACCCGGCCCAAATTAGGTTTTCTATGATGCAAACTACTGTACTAGTGTAACAGTGTTGCTTCCGTCCCTCTCCTCGCCCCTACCTGGGCTTGAACCAGGGACGCTCTGCACACATCGACAACAGTCACCCTCAAAGCACCGTTACCCGTCGCTCCACAAAAGCCGCGGCCCTTGCAGAGCAAGGGAAACAACTACTTCAAGGTCTCAGAGCGAGTGACGTCACCGATTGAAATGCTACTAGCGCGCACCGCTAACTAGCTAGCCATTTCACACCGGTTACACTCACCCCCCTTTTGACCTCCTCCTTTTCCGCAGCAACCAGTGATCCGGGTCACGGCACCAATGTAACAGTGTTGCTTCCGTCCCTCTCCTCGCACCTACCTGGGCTTGAACCAGGGACCCTCTGCACACATCGACAACAGTCACCCTCGAAGCACCGTTACCCGTCGCTCCACAAAAGCCGCGGCCCTTGCAGAGCAAGGAAAACAACTACTTCAAGGTCTCAGAGAGGGTGACGTCACCGATTGAAATGCTACTAGCGCGCACCGCTAACTAGCTAGCCATTTCACACCGGTTACACTAGCCTGGTACCAACTTTGTACTTGATGCAAATGTGTAATAAATCTGTCCAAGAGGGATTGCAGTTTCTCTTCCTCTGTTCTGACAACTTAAATAGTACTCTGCTATATTCCATCTGTTCACATTCTGTTCACTTTTCTTCTTGTACAGAAGCTGAAGAAGGAAAGAGGGAAAAAAATGATTAGCCTATTAGCCTATTACCCAATCTTCAATCATTTGAAAATAAATTATATGACCTAAGATTACGGTTATCCTACCAACGGGACATTAAAAACTGTAATATCTTCACCGAGTCGTGGCTGAACGACGACATGGACAACATACAGCTAGCGGGCTATACGCTACATCGGCAGGATAGAACGGCTGACTCTGGTAAGACAAGGGGTGGCGGTCTGTGTATATTTGTAAACAACAGCTGGTGCACAAAATCAAATACTAAGGAAGTCTCGAGGTTTTGCTCGCCTGAGGTAGAGTATCTTATGATAAGCTGTAGACCACACTATTTACCAAGAGAGTTTTCATCTATATTTTTCATAGCTGTCTATTAACCACCACAAACCAATGCTGGCATTAAGATGGCACTCAATGAGCTGTATAAGGCCATAACTAAACAGGAAAACGCTCATCCAGAGGCAGCGCTCCTAGTCGCCGGGGACTTTAATACAGGGAAACTTCAATCCGTTCGACCTAATTTCTACCAGCATGTTAAATGTGCAACCAGAGGGGAAAAAAACTCTAGACCACCTTTACTCCACACACAGAGACGCATACAAAGCTCTCCCTTGCCCTCCATTTGTCAAATCTGACCATAACTCTATCCTCCTGATTCCTGATTATAAGCAAAAACTAAAGCAGGAAGCACCAGTGACTCGGTTAATAAAAAAGTGGTCAGATGACACAGATGCTAAGCTACAGGACTGTTTTGCTAGCACAGACTGGAACATGTTCCGGGATTCTTCAGATAGCATTGAGGAGTACACCACATCAGTCACTGGCTTCATCAATAAGTGCATTGAAGACGTCGTCCCCACAGTGACCGTACGTACATACCCCAACCAGAAGCCATGGATTACAGGCAACATCCGCACTGAGCTAAAGGGTAGAGCTGCTGCTTTCAAGGAGCGGGACTCAAACCCGGACGCTTATAAGAAATCCCGCTATGCCCTCCGACAAACCATCAAACAGGCAAAGAGTCAATACAGGACTAAGATTGAATCGTACTACACCGGCTCTGACGCTCGTCGAATGTGGCAGGGCTTGAAAACTATTACAGACTACAAAGGGAAGCACAGCCGCGAACTGCCCAGTGACACAAGCCTACCAGACGAGCTAAACCACTTATATGCTCGCTTCGAGGCAAGCAACACTGAAGCATGCATGAGAGCACCAGTTGTTCCGGATGACTATGTGATCACGCTCTCCGTAGCCGATGTGAGTAAGACTTTTAAGCAGGTCAACATTCACAAGGCCGCAGGGCCAGACGGATTACCAGGACGTGTACTCCGAGCATGTGCTGACCAACTGGCAAGTGTCTTCACCGACATTTTCAACATGTCCCTGACTGAGTCTGTAATACCAACATGTTTCAAGCAGACCACCATAGTCCCCGTGCCCAAGGACACTATGATAACCTGCCTAAATGACTACCGACCCGTAGCACTGACGTCTGTAGCCATGAAATGCTTTGAAAGGTTGGTCATGGCTTACATCAACACCATTATCCCAGAAACCCTAAACCCACTCCAATTTGCATACCGCCCCAACAGATCCACAGATGATGCTATCACTATTGCACTCCACACTACCCTTTCCCACCTGGACAAGAGGAACACCTACGTGAGAATGCTATTCATTGACTACAGCTCAGCGTTCAACACCATAGTGCCCTCAAAGCTCATCACTAAGCTAAGGATCCTGGGACTAAACACCTCCCTCTGCAACTGGATCCTGGACTTCCTGACGGGCCGCCCCCAGGTGGTAAGGGTAGGTAACAACACATCTGCCACGCTGATCCTCAACACGGGGGCCCCTCAGGCGTGCGTGCTCAGTCCCCTCCTGTACTCCCTGTTCACCCATGACTGCATGGCCAGGCACGACTCCAACACCATCATTAAGTTTGCCGATGACACAACAGTGGTAGGCCTGATCACAGACAACGATGAGACAGCCTATAGGGAGGAGGTCAGAGACCTGGCCGTGTGGTGCCAGGATAACAACCTCTCCCTCAACGTGACCAAGACAAAGGAGATGATTGTGGACTACAGGAAAAAAAAGAGGACTGAGCACGCCCCCATTCTCATCAACGGGGCTGTAGTGGAACAGGTTGAGAGCTTCAAGTTCCTTGGTGTCCACATCACCAACGAACTATCATGGTCCAAACACACCAAGACAGTCGTGAAGAGGGCACGACAAAGCCTATTCCCCCTCAGGAGACTGAAAAGATTTGGCATGGGTCCTCAGATCCTCAAAAAGTTATACAGCTGCACCATCGAGAGCATCCTGACTGGTTGCATCACCGCCTGGTATGGCAACTGCTCGGCCTCCGACCGCAAGGCACTACAGAGGGTATTGCGTACGGCCCAGTACATCACTGGGGCCAAGCTTCCTGCCATCCAGGACTTCTATACCAGGTGGTGTCAGAGGAAGGCCCTCAAAATTGTCAAAGACTCCAGCCACCCTAGTCATAGACTGTTCTCTCTGCTACAGCAGGGCACACCAAGTCTAGGTCCAAAAGGCTTCTCAACAGCTTCTACCCCCAAGCCATAAGACTCCTGAACAGCTAATCATGGCTACCCGGACTAGTTGCACTGCCCCCCCACCCCCACCCCATCTTTTTACGCTGCTGCTACTCTGTTAATTATTTATGCAGGGTCACTTTAACTCTACCCACATGTACATATTACCTCAACTACCTCAACTAGCTGGTGCCCCCGCACATTGACTCTGCACCGGTACCCCCCTGTATATAGCCTCCCTACTGTTATATTATTTTACTTCTGCTCTTTTTTTCTCAACACTTTTTTGTTGTTGTTGTTTTATTTTACTTTTTTATTAACAAATAAATGCATTGTTGGTTAAGGGCTGTAAGTAAGCATTTCACGGTAATATCTACACCTGTTGTATTCGGCGCATGTGGCAAATAAAATGTGATTTGATTTGATTTGAGTATATATAATTCCATTAAAGCAGTGTAAAGTGTCTACCCCTGTATCTCAAAGGAGATATAGACCTCTACTGCTGTCTGAAGTGTGCAAAAGGCATGCCACTACAACGCCGTCTACAACACATTGGTGGAGCCCTTCGCTAGTACTGCTAGTACATGGTCATCATATAGTCACGCCCAAGGCATAGACTTAAAGGAGAGACTGCTGGACAGACCAAAGCTTGAGGAGGTGGTCCACGAAGACGGTTGTGTGGGGATTATAGAAACGTTTTCTCCCAGGGTCAAGTCTGAGGCGCCAGAGAACTCAGGCGATGCCCAACCCTAAAGTGGCTATGTGTGTGGCTGTACTACCAACCCATAGCCACAATATGTGTGCTAAACAAAAACTCTATATTTTCTCATTTTTAAATATTACATTGAATTTGTCTTGGCTTTGTAATCATCACAGTGCATCAGGTCATGTAGTAACACTGACAAACACTGTCAAGATTTGATGAACCGACAACTTGTTCCTACAATAAGCAATTGATTTCCTATGGGCATGATGATTCATACAGATTGGCTTATATTACTTTATGACATAAAGTAACCTCTGTAGAATTGTACATGTGGTTTTTCTATCTATTAACTCTATGGAGGTACTATACAGAGAAAAAAACACACTGCTAGTTATACAGCAGGCAAATTGGTCTCAGTTTCTGTGAGTTGAGAGTGAAACGGCAGACCCAAATGTTTATCTTTCCTAAGATATTTGCATGGTTCAGTTTCACACTGAATGGAAAAAGATGAGGATGAGTCCTCCTTGGTGCGTCACAAGAAAATATTATGCAAACCTTTTCATGGTCTTTTACCTCCGTTGACTCGGGGTGAGCGCCTAGAGGAAGCGGAGAGGGAGGTCGTGAGGCAACAAAACCACAACATCTGTTTTCATCATCTCTTTTTACTTAATTGAATGACAGCTCTAAATAAAACATTCCATACGATATCAAACTTCATATCATTAAACTTACAAATATATTAGCCTGGTCCCAGATCTGCTTGTGCTATCATGTCAACTCCTCGTCATGTTTTTCATAACAAGGCGTGGCAAGGAGTAGCGTGATGGCACAAACAGACTGGTGCCCAGGCTCAAAAAATATAAATGCGATTAAAACATCTTTACCTTGGTAACTGTCATAAATATACATTTCATACTGGAGCACAGGAATATTGAACTATTTACTGTGTATCTAAAGACACCTGAAAGATTGTCTATTCTGTCTGTGTCTTGGAGTCTGCTAGCGCTTTATTATCCCCCTTCCTGCAGCAGGGGAGCAACTGCCTGAAACGGGCCAGGTAGAACAGGGGTCCGATGAACAGGCCGAAGTTGGGGAAGGCCAGGAGCAGCTGGAGGATGCGGCAGTGTATGCGGTTAGCCTCCTGGTCCTCCTCCTCCGGGTGCCACATGGACATGAAGGGCACCAGGGCCACCAGAGGAGTGTAGGCCACCACCGAGGGCACCAGCACGGCCAAGATGTTCTTCAGAGCTCTCCTCTTCAGGTTCATGCTGCCCCCAGACACCGACTCGGAGCCCTCCCCAGGCCCGCTCTGGCACAGCACCCACACGATGCCCAGCAGACACAGCAGCATGATCAGGAACAGGACTGAAGTGGTGAGGGCCAAATACAGAGCCATGGAGAACACCCCCTGGAAGTAGGCCAGCAGCATCACCACCAGGGTGAGGAGCCAGGCCAGGGCACACACCCTGGCGCGGTACTCCCATTTCCCCAGCCGTAAGTAGGCCATGGGGTGGGCTGCCGCCAGGTAGCGCTCCACACACAGGCAGGCCAGCAGGAGAGGACAGCCGAAGATGTTGAGGGCGGAGAGGGCTTCGGCCGCCGTGAGTATCTGTTGGGACGCGTCGTAGTGCATGGCAGTGTAGATGTCCATGGGCAGGCAGAGGCAGTAGAGGATATCCAGGATGGACAGGTTGAGGCCCAGGACCTTGGAGGCTGATAGGGATTTCTTGCTGCTCATCAATAGCCACAGCAGGCCCACGTTGGCTGGGAGACCTGTCAGCAGGGTGAAGATCTTTATGCTCAACCACACAATAGAATCGCTAAGTATGTGGCACTGTTGCATCACCTCGTCTATGTTGCTATCTATGCCGTAGAATAACCATAAAAATTCAGCAAATGATGACGTGGCAAAACTATTGGTGCCATTGGAGTTTTGGTCCCCACAAAAAGAAGAGTTGCTTATGTTGCAGGGTGGTGGTGTAGGGCTACCCCCATTGGAGAAGGTGCTATTGTTGGCCATGGTGTCTCTTCTGAGGAAATGTATCAGAAGACTCTGCAGTAGACAAAAGCAAATCCTTATTTACATAATAATGAATATTTATCAGGAAAGGTACCACCAACCTTTCAAAGTGAATGGGGGAAACACCTGTGGTAATGGGATATCATAACTATTATTTACAATCAATTAACACTCAAGAAGTCATCAATCTCTTATGTTTAGGTTAATCAATCATTTTGACATAAGTCTCAAACACTCCATCCCACTCTACATACAGTACATTGAGATTTAACAAATAAGGTTTATCAATCCTGACATTCACACCTGAGATTATATTTCAAAATGTAAAACAATGTATTTACAGTACATCTTAATTGTTCACAAAAATCTACTTATAGGGCAACCTTCAAGCCATTAAACAATATAATTCCAAGGTTCTTTACTTTACTACATGATCCCAAAGTAATAAACCCTATACATCATAATTACATTATAAGATAGTACTTTAATAGAAGGTGTAGGATCTTAATGTGAGCCAGTTTGCTACAGCAGGAAAATAATCCTGCAGCAACAGGAAATGGGAATTATTCTGTGGATTATAATTCATGGAGAAAAAATATATTGGGGTTGATACATTTTCCGTTAGGGCAAATCAAGTCTGAAAACCTTGAATACACTACAGGTTTGCATTTCCTGCTGTACAAGAAAATTCTTAGACACAAATTGTTGATACATACAAATTCCCCCCTTTGGGGATTAATAAAGTACTATCTTATCTCATCTTGTAATTGAAAAGTGAAGACTTGCGATTTAGTATACAATGAGTGGTAGACAAATGAAGCTGAGAGTAAACTAACCTGATCAGATAGATGAAGGTGGATAGCTGATGAGGACTCTGTGATGTAGCTACAGTGTTTGTCTGTTTTCTAACCCTCCCCTCCTCATCCTTTGCATTTGTCATTTGTCAGAGAGAGAGAGAGAGAGAGAGAGAGAGAGAGAGAGAGAGAGAGAGAGAGAGAGAGAGAGAGAATGCTATTTGGCCCTAAACAGAGAGTACACAGTGGCAGAATACCTGACCACTGTGACTGACCCAAATTTAAGGAATGCTTTGACTATGTACAGACTCAGTGAGCATAGCCTTGCTATTGAGAAAGGCCGCTGTAGGCAGACCTGGCTCTCAAGAGAAGACAGGCTATGTGCACACTGCCCACAAAATGAGGTGGAAACTGAGCTGCACTTCCTAACCTCCTGCCAAATGTATGACCATATTAGAGACACATATTTCCATCAGATTACAGCGATCCACAAAGAATTCGAAAACAAACCCAATTTTGAAAAACTCCCTTATCTACTGGGTGAAAAACCACAGTGTGCCATCACAGCTGCAAGATTTGTGACCTGTTGCCACAAGAAAAGGGCAACAGAGAGAGAGAGAGAGAGAGAGCGAGAGCATTTTCCTGTGATGGTCCATTGGACTTGTGGAAAAGATAAATGTGCTAGACATTTACATTTTAGTCATTTAGCAGACACTCTTATCCAGAGCGACTTACAGTTAGTGAGTGCATACATTATTTTTTTATACCCCCCGTGGGAAACAAACCCACAACCCTGGCGTTGCAAACGCCATGCTCTACCAAATGAGCTACATGCCTGCCGGCCATTCCCTCCCCTACCCTGGGCCAATTGCACGCCGGTCGCGGCCGGCTACGACAGAGCCTGGATTCGAACCAGGATCTCTAGTGGCACAGCTAGCACTGCGATGCAGTGCCTTAGACCACTGCGCCACTCGGGAGGGGCCAGGAGGGGCCAGGACAGGTATGGGGCTTTTCTTCTCCTCAGAGTCTGACTAAAACTACACCATGCAAATATCCTCTGAAACACACAAACAATGTGGGTTTATAACTTCACACCAAGAAGAAAGTCTCTCAACAACACTTGTTGTTCTTCCTTCGCCTTTCTTTATCTTCCGTATGGCTCTCATCGTGTTGGAACTCTAGGGGAACCACCATAATACCACAGAATAAAAAGGGATGTTGATCAATAGGTCTATCAATAGGATGTTGATCAATGGATATTGTGTGTTTTATATACAGAAGTGTAAGCCATATACAAACACAAGATAATGTTTGCTAGTTGATGATGGCCCATTGTACTGAAGGCCATAGCCTTGGCTCTGCTGTAGGTAAGTTATTTTGCACTACTGTATGTTGGCATTCATTCACACTTACTTAATTTACATGTGAATAGCCTAACCCTAGGGTCTGTCAGTTTTTAAAGGCCCAGTGCACTCAAAAACGTGATTTTCCTATGTGTTATATACAGTATATTTCCACACTATGACGTTGGAATAAAATTGTGAAATTGTGAAAATTCTGATAATGGCGTTTTAGTGTAAGAGCTGTTAGGAAAAACAGCCTGAAATTTCAGCCTGCTGGGTGACATTAGCTAATTAGTTAATAGACCAATAAGAAAGAGAGTTACAAACCTCAGCTAGTTTTTAGTTTTCCCCACTCAGACCACTCCCAGACAGTCCTAGCAAAATTCTTGCTTGAGAAATTGCTCTTTGCTAAGAAGCTATTTTTGCTTCTTTTTGACCATTTTAATTTAAAACAATCACAGTAAGGTACTTAACTGTTACCAGGAAATGATTTGATATTGAGATAAAAATGGCTGCATTGGACCTTTATAGTGTCAATCAGCAGTTGCTACATTAATTTTTTTGACTTATAAATTAATGATATGTAGCCATTGATTCTTGAAGAATATAACTTACAAATGCCTAATGAGCTTTGTTCAACTGTTGTTCCCCTTCAGAACCCAAAATATAAGCTTGTTTTACGCCAATGTTTGTAAACAAAGAAAATGTAAACAAACACTAGGCTACATAGCCTCAAAACGTGGTTAAAACTATAATTTTGATATCATGGATGATCAGTCCTTGGATCTGTAGCTCTGTCTATGAATTTGAGGGTGGTTCCATTTCTCCAGCCCCATCCCTCAGCTTTTTACCAAACCAGGGGCGGGGCAACGGCTTTGTTTTTGTTT